GGACACAAACTACTCTGATACTTTCAAGACTGGGAAAGCATCCGGAGGAAGGTGGAGGCCCACAAATGGGACATACAGACGATGACAAACACCCACTGGGTGTTGACGAACTGCTCTTCCCATTATTGCATTCGGGACGATGCGACAAGTGGATCTATTTTTTAGCAGTCCCTTAATGCAGTCCAAAATCATCTCATTATTCGGAGGGAGCTTTGTAGGGAAGGAAGCCATCCCCACATATACGTTGCCCATGTTGTAGCACAAAACTAAGACCTTTTGCATCCCCACATATACGTTGCCTATGTTGTAGCACAAAACTAAGACCTTTCGTTTAGATGAGTTGATTGATTCTTTAGAAATCGAGGACATGTCAGTTTTGTTTACCATGTCGGGTTCCTTCCCTTGATCCTGATTCAATTTCCATAAGGTTTTTGAGGTTGGTAGAATAGATGAAGCCAATGATTCCCCGTCTGAGAAACTGAAAGACCTCAAGAATTTATCCTCCCCTAGACCATCTAATTGAGTGCGTCGTTGCTTCGCAGGACAGTTGCTTCCTCTCAAATAATGGTGTTCCATAGAGCCTTGAACTTTATATACTTCCTTCTCCCGATGCCCCCCAACAGGCCCATTTCCCCCCGAATCATTCTCCTGATGTGCCAGGTTCTCTGATGTTGTGGGCCCAACAATTTCGCTTTGAGCTGCGAAGGTTTGGCTATGCGAGTTTCCTGTTGCAGGGGGAGGAACCCCTCCTCTGCCCGTGGCCGACACTTGCTGAGACAGTGGGGTTTTGCTCGGGTAGGTAGGTGAAACCCCAGGGGGTGGCGGTTCAGGTTCATATATTGGATATATCTGAATCCCACTAAATGTTGGAGTTCCCCTGCCCATTATTAACCGCTGGCTCTACCAACTGAGTTAATTACCCAAATGTGTTATTCCCAATCTAAAACGCCCTTCTTCCATTCATAAACAAAACCGATAGTTAAAATCAATAAAAAGACCATCATAGATCAAAATCCAAACCATCCTATTTTATTGAAAGAAACTGCCCAAGGAAATAAAAAAGTAACTTCTAAATATTGGATCAAAAGTTTCACTGCAATGATAACTTACAACGTCAAAGCCTATACGTGATACCGGCGAGATCCAACCGGTTTGTTTGATGTATGTATTGGAAGTCAGATGACCCATAGTACCTGCCTAACCCGAAAGGGACCTAGTAATAGGAAAGCACAAACAATCTCATCAGTAATCGGGAAGGGGTTTATGCATTTACACAACGCGGCTACGAAACCGGTGTTGATTGAGCGCGTGGTCGGAGCTGAAGTTTTTGAGCGCCACTCAATCCCGCGCTCAAAGCGCCTTGAGCAAGGTTTAAGCGAGCGTGGGGAATTTTTTTTTTCGGGTAAAAAATGCTCAAAAATAAAAAAATAAAAAATATAGGGTTGTACAGTAGGTTACCAGTCGAGCCGCCCAGGTCACCCTATTTCCCCAGGCGGCCCGGCCGTGCGAGGAGCAGGGAAGGTCCCTGCCAAAAAATATAAAATATAAAATATAAAAAAATCTAAAAAATCCTAGGCTACCAGCCGGGCCGCCCGGGTCACCTTGTGTTGCCCGTGCGGATGGTCCCAGCAAAAAAAAACAAAAAAAAAAACAAAATCCCCAAAAATCTGAAAAAAAACTATGTTATGCAGAAAAATAAACAGAACAACTTTTGGCTCAGGATCACATCGAAATTCTTTACCAATTTAAAAATAAAAATTAAAATTGAAAATTAAAATTTTATTTTTATTTATTTTAATCCTTTTTGGCCCGGCCGGGCAAGTGGTCCCGGGCCACTCTGGTACCCTAGAAAAAATCCGGAAAAAAAACAATGTTATGCAGAAAAATATTTTTATTTCTTTTATATCTTTTTGGCCTGGCCGGGCAAGTGGACCCGGGCCACTCTGGTAGCTTAGGTTGTAGATCTTTTTTAGATCTACAACCCTATGTTTTTTATTTTATTTTTTGAAGTTTCGCTATATTTTTAAAAAATCAAAAACATAAAAAAAAACAAAAAAACAAAAAAAAAGATGACATAGGTGGGTTTTTCCTTTTCTTCACGGAGATTGTTTGGTGGGCAACCAATAAGCAAAATATATATATATATATATACAACCCAATTTTTTATTTTTATTTTTTAATTCATATGTATTTAAAAAACAATGAAAAACACAAAAAACATCGAAAAAATAAAACACACTCCTAGACAACCGCCCCCACAAACACACACACGTACGCACACACACACACACATAGACAACCCCCCCCACAAACACACACACGTATGCACACACAGACACACACACACTCACACAAACACACATACGCATAAACACAAACATACACGTGCACACACACACAAACATACACATAAACACCAACACAAACACAAACACACACGTGCACAGACACGCATGCACACACACACAAACACAAACACAAACACACACGTGCACACACACACACATGCACACACACACACACACACACACACACGCCCCCCCCCCCCCCCCCCACAAAAAATCACCCCCACCCCCTTGTTTTTTTTTCCCGCGCAACCCTCCCTACGTCATCCCCTGCACTCACGCAAACCCCTCAGGTGCACATGTTTTTTTTTTCCCGTTTTTTTTTATTTTAATTTTATTTTTGTTATTATTATTATCATTATTATTATTATTATTATTAGGTGCTTTGAGCGCTTTGAGCGGGGAGGGGGGAGGCATAAAGCGCGTGCGCTCGTGCTTAAGCGCTCTCATACGGTTTCATAGCAACGAAAATTTCATTCTACGACATAGAGACAACTCCCTCCTAGACATGGCGAATTTCCCATTGAACAGTCCGGGACCCATCTGTGCCCCGAACCCCAGCAACACAAAAGATGGACAAACGGAGAACCCTCCCGAAGCCACAAGTGGTAGGCCATTGGGGGGCGAGTGGGCTTGCGGTGTTGTGGTGAACTGGGAAGCCGCACCTTGACCCGGTTGTGGTCCTAACATGGGGATGTACGGCTGACTGATGTGATGACTTTAGGAGGGGCCAGTAGTTGGGGGAGTGTCAAGATTTGGTCTGTATGTCATCAACGTTGGAGGTCGGAGGAGTTGTTGCACGACCGGGGTTGTGCCTGATGCAATTCGGGAGGGACCGTACATTTGTTGGGCCTTCTGTCCAGATGAAGTCCCATCCCCAAGGTGTGGTGTATTGCCCTTTGTGTACGCATGGTGTTGTGGATGACGTGGGCATGCCTTGCTATCCTCAGTATGGTAATACCACTTGCACTTCTTGCTTCAATCCGTGGCCTGGGACACAAATTCCAACTTAAACACCTCCCTATCTTTCTCAAACTCTAACTTATCCTTCCATTTTTGCCTTGTCTCAAGGGCGAAGTCAATTTTCACGTTCATCAAACGAGGGAAATGGTTGTCCTTCTGGGGTGGATACATTCTTAAGATCTTAGCCATGGAGTTTTCCACCGCCCAGTGGAGATGAAACATAGCACTGAGTGAAACCCTTATAGTCATTACCCAGAAATTTTCCTACGGCCTCCTGAGCTCGGAGATCATCTAGCTCTTGCACCGACGGAACTGGACCGAGTATCAGATGTCGGGACTCCCCAGAGTGTGGGGGTCCTTAAACACAATCATGTCAGAACCCTTCTGGATCATGAACTCAATAATATCTTTCATCGTTGCCATGTGAAAAGACATTCAACTCCTCAAATTTAACCCTCCCCCTTTTTAAAAAAGGGTTGACTGTGGGATTGGCGTACCAACTGTCTTCATAAATGCGAATTAAAATTTCGTTTGTCTTATTCGGTAATTCCCTTGAGTCCCCTTGGAAAATGACAACTATTGTCCTTTCTTTTAACCATTTCACTACCACGTCATCCAATCTTGAGTTAAGCGTGATTGTTGTTGTCCGACCCTCTACTACACATCTCTCACGATCCGGCCCTTCGGGGAAGATTCTGTCCTCAAAATATTTTTGGGTCATCTCTCTGATACGTTCCTCTTCCGGGTTGGATGTAGGGTCCATTTTGTGGAACACACAAGACGGACAAGAGAATACAGGGGACCGAAGCCGTGATACGATGTCAATTATAGAATTAGAAAGGACACTAGTCGGGGAGGATAGCCGGACGGGACAATTCGTTCTCAAATGCTGAGATAATAGGTTATTACGCTGGGACGAAAGACAAAGAAGTCCCGTTTGTCACACAACTCCCTAATGGAATGCCAAACACTGTCATGCGAGTTCAGAGCAGACGGGTGGCTTACGGGTTTGAGGCAATTTTAGCATATGGCGAGAACTAGGCAAAAATGGGAAACAAAAACCTGTTGTTAAATATTACTTTGTAACGGACCTACTTGAGGCTCAAATTACTAGGCAAGGAAAGTGTGTGATGTTGAACAAAGGATATGCGGGATGAAGATTTACCGTACAAATATTGGTTCCCAGGATCGCCACCAGCTTTCGCTACTCTTTCACTCATCTCCTTCTGCTCCCCTTTTGATGGCGCCAATTCCATAAATAAAATTCTCCATCCAATTTGCTTGAAGACTAAGTCGTCTTCGTTTTGGGAGATAAAGAAATTTTTCCCAAACCACCGGGTTGCCACCTGCAATTCTCATCCCACCCCCGTCACCGAGCTAAGGGGTGAAACATTACATACTTCGAGGCCTACTGAATGTGTCGTCCCTCATCGCAGCCTTCCGATTGCCAGTTCCGGCTTCCTTCCTGCCACAGCAGTGCAGTGTTCCACATACGTGTGGTGCCATGCTGAGTTTCACCACCTCCAACTTCATCATGGTGATCGCCCTTTGATGTTGACACGATGACGAGGACATACCACATCCTACTTTTGCTTCCTCCAAGCCTACTTCAAGTGTTCTTTAACTCTGCTCTGTTCGATGTTTCCCAGACGGGCGCCAAAGCGCTCGCCAATTCACTTGCTTCGCATGGAGTTTAGGTGGCTCCCAGGGACTCTTAGTTGACTCCTAGACCTCCCAAGCACTTGGCTATGGTTGGTGTCAACAAGTTGACGCGAGGTGGTGGCCGCCTCATTCCCATGCAAGGGATGCAGCGGAATGACGAGAGAGTGCCAACGAAACTGCCGCCAGCGGTACGCTGCAGAGCGCTACCAGGCGCTCGTCAACGTACCCCCCTCTGACTCAAAGTTCCCCACAGACTCTAGACATCCATTGGGAAAAAAAGAAAAGAAAAGAAGGGGGTTCATTTTCACAAACCACTTATTCGTGAACCCTTTTGTCAGCGGCCTGAGAGGCCGCGGGGGCTGGGAATTTGCGGTAACCTCAGGGCATAATCACACCGGGACCTATAATCCCAAATTCCCCAAAAGAAAGGGTAGAGGTCCGGTCACACCGATTTGCCAAAACACCCAGTGTACTATTTGTGTGCCCATTTGTCAGTGGCTTGGGAAGCCGCGGGCAAGGGAACCAGAGGTGACTACAAATGCCCTATTTATTTTTTCGCATTTTCTTTGAAAATTGGCAAGAATTCGTTCACAAAAGTTCTTGCACAATTTGCGGATGGCCCCGTGTGACCAGCAAAGTACCAAATCCTCATTTATCCAGACTGCCGTGACCTTGTCCCATCTGAAAAGGTACAACAGTCCGACCGGAAGCATGCCCAAAACCTCAAATCGGCCCTTCCCAAATCCGCATATTTTTTGGACTGCAAATTCCTTATTATTTTTTGAATTAATTTTCATAAATGACGTGAAGATCGAAAGGGAAATAAAAGGCTAATTCTTTAAACCACCAGTACCTACCGGTTGTTAAGGCCCATGGCTCAGGCTATCGGTAGCCCGGTCATTCCCGAGCCTCGGACAACCGGTAGGACACAACG